AGTTACATGAAAGGACATATTTGCCCTTGGTGTTTACATCATAACACTTAACAATATAAAAAACTGAAACGTAAATAACAGAACTAGAATAACAGAATAACATAACAGATAGAATAGGTATATTCTACCCTACGGACAGAGTGGCCCCACATCAGTTTCTCTACAACTACCACAAGATCCATACTTTACATGAATCAGGAAGATAGAAAGGAAAGAAGAAATCAAATTCCAGGTAGAAGCTGCTAAGGAAGCTCTTGCATTAATGCATGCATCCCAGTCATTGGCCATCAACCATTGGTGCTCATAACCCCCCGTATGTTTTCTTTGTGAGGCAAGTGGGAGAAAATCCACAATCTACTTGCACATTTCTCTCTATCTCTCTAATAAGCAAAAGTGTAACAATACCATATTGTAGTCCATGATGGAATATACACATCACAAGAATGCTAAATGAAATTGATTAACATTATAATTAACAAAGAAATTTAAATCATTCAAAAACATTGACAACAAACCTCTCTTAGTTTTCCAGCAATATCCTCAAGAAATCCCAAATCAGGATGAACTACAACCATCTCCCTGCAATTTTCAAAGGAAAAGGAAAAGTTGCAAAAGATGCAAATGAAGAAGGGGGGTTACACAATATGAACATGGAACAATAAGAAAAGAAAAAAACAAAACAAAACTAAAGGCATACTTAAGTGGTGTTTTCAGAGGCTTGTTGTGACGTTCACGGATATTGCGTGCAAGATCAATAACTGTCATCATTCTTGCAACACTTTGTTCAATGCGTTCCTCCCTCTAAACAGAGATAAATAAATATAAAATAAAAGGAAATATAATAAGGAAATAACGTGGTTGAAAAGAACTACGGAAATGCAAAAAACAACTTTACCTTTCCTCCTGCTTGAGGAAAACTGCAATAGTGAATACATTCCTCCRATCCATCACAAACCTTGCGCATGTTTTGATAAAGAACCTCAGTGAAGAAAGGCGTAAATGGTGCCATCACCTTACATGTAGTTAGGAGCACCTAAGGTTCATGTATCAGGGGCAACAAAAACATCAGAAATACAATTACAATGGAGGTAATGAGCCTATGAGATATATATATTGTATACCCATGAGAACAACTATATGTTAACAGTTTTGTCAATAATTTGATTTAGAAAACATTAGAAAAGTACTATGCTCAGAGGTAAACAATAAGCTCTCCACTAAAGCTGGAAAGAAAAGTAGAAATCTCTCTGTTAATATTTATCTTTTATGTACAACTAGTTCAAAAAGATTCCAAGTGCCAAGTTGCATTCTCTTGTTTTAGAATGAACTCCCAGGCAAATAGCCATACATCTCTGAGAATAAAAGATCAGTCTTAGAGAAAAATGATAAGTAGTATTGACCTCAAAGGGGTAAAAGTGATATACGACAAGGRTGGTCAAAGCCTTGGTGTTTGGGTTAGARTAGGTACTGTTATTGCTTTTAGTAGTTGTGGGTATGCCAGTGATTTTGGATTGTCACAGTTCTTGTGATTTAAATTTGAAGCCTAAAACATATCTATTTGGCATGATTTCTATGTTGTAGAAGGTTTTTTTTTTCAATTAACTATCTGATCAGAGCAAGAACTTATAAATTGAACTTAATTTGAGAGAGTAACAGCTGCTTTCTGTCAAGAAAGTTTCTGGCAGTATGGATTTTAAAAATGTTATTTAGTTAGCTGATAAAAAAGAATGTTATTTAGTTAGGAGTTCTCTTGGTTCTTAAGTCAGGGTTCTATTTCTTATAAATACCTGTTACAGAAGCATTATAGCGAGCTTTTATTATTGAATAATGTTTAATTTATTCATATGATAGTTTTCTCGATCTCTTTTCAATTCAAGAGGCTTTCTTGTTCATTCATGATATTTGTTAATGGGAATGGGATATCGAACTTGCCCTTCACACCTTAATGCTTAACACAACATTAAAAAGTAACTGAGCCACACTATGTCAGAAAATAATTGCTTTTTCAAAATACTTCATTGCACTTGGGTGCCAATATTCCAAATTACAATTTTAAACATATAATCCAATGATGCAAGGCATGATTAACAGGAGAAAGATAACGATGGCCCAGCATGGAGAAATGATGACTTGTATCATGTCACTAATCTGATTATCAAATACCAAATGAATGTACTAAGCACTAGAACAGGATAACTAATGAAATTAAATTGCATAAATGAAACATGTTAAAGAACATGCATCTTGTAGAATTCACGTCAACAGATAAAACCTTCATACATGATAAAGAGTTGATAGTGCCATTTTGCAGTCTTCTTCTCCTGTTCGGCCTTTTAGTCTCTTACGATTAAACCGCACGTATATATTTGTTAGGTTGTCTATAAATTTCAAGAGATATGGTACCACCTGTAGAATACACATCAAACATATACATATATACATTACCAACAGTATTCACATAATCACATCCTTATCAAATGAAGCTTCTATGTAGCATTGAGATGGAAACTTCATAAAGGATGTGTGACACTTCAAGTAAATTCCATATATGACACTTTGTCCTTGCYGGATCAGCCTCTGGCATGGCATGCATTTAAATAGAATTCCTATGGTCCAAAGGCTGGCGCAGGAAAGCATATTGAGACTTCAGGTCCAGCTCCAGGCCATACCAATAAGGGTCTATGGGCTCAAAATTCAATGCTAAACCCAACCTTGGATTAAACTTGCAATACAAAATGGAATAACCCTTCAAGCATGTCAAGCCTGTTGGACCAGCCMATGCCATAGGGATGCTATTGGATAAAGCCTAGAAGGCTTATCATTCTACAGCATTTTCTTTTTCATCATCTTTCAACTCGATACAAAGTGTTTTTCTCACATATTTATCATTGTTGTGTGCTTTTCTCATATTCCTAAATGCATTTTTGATATGCCCACAGCTCAGCAATATGACACTGATCCAGACTAGTACCTTAAAAATTATTGGAACCAATTCTTTTTCTGGACTCAAAACACATTCTAGTAACATAGAAGATATTTTATGTTTTCAATTGTTGAACTTTAATTTAAAGGTAAGCACAGAACCGTGTATAGTCGATATGCATCCATTTCTTGACGGACAAAGTGCACAAGACTCTCAGTRGCAGAGTTGATCCATTGGTCAAGCACATTTGGTGACTTCTGAAGAGTGACCATGTCAATAGGTACAAATGACCCAGACCCCTCAACCTCAAGTCTCTTAGCATTCTGAACAAGGAACCTGTATGCATTATACCATGGAAGAAACACATCTTTCACCTGCATATACATTAAACAGTCAAGAACAAAAACTTAAAAGGTCTGTTAGATCACAATTAAGCTTTGTAAAACCAAAAAAATAATATAAAATGAGATCATGTAAAACTCAGTTGCATAAAAACCTAGGATAGTAATGGAGCACGTGTTACTAAACACAGAAGACTTACAACACCATATACTCCATCCTTTTTGAACCTTAATGGCTCTGCACGTACAACTGGAGAATTGATAATGTATAATCGCAAAGCATCCTGTATAAAAGAAAAGGTACTTTAGAGCACAACCTATATATATATAWAGTTGCCTTGGTCCATGTCAACTTATTCTCTCTCCTCCCTTGTTTTCCAACCCCCACAAAGTATTGTGATTTCTTTGAATTTTGGAAGAAAAAAATAAAAATATCAAGCATGAGGCTATTTAAGGTCACCCTCAATAAATTCAGTTTCCTTCTTAGGAAACAAAATCCAATCACCTCCCTTGCAGAGCATGGGCATGGACATTCTTTTAACACCACTCTGGGCATTATACAGGTCTCTTCTAGATTTTCTAGATTCAGTAAATATCCAAAATAAAATACACCAACTGATAGCTTACAGCTCCATAATCGCCTATAACTTCCATAGGCGAAGGGTAGTTCCTCAATCTTTTACTCATCTTTTTCCCATCCTCAGCCAGGACAAGACCATTGCAAATAAGATTTCTGAATGCAGGTTTTCCAAATAATGCAGTGGACAACACCATAAGAGTATAGAACCTGCAGGCATGGAGAAAAGGTGACACTTAAGTACTAGTTGTTCCTTAAAACTAATACACCATGAGAAAGTAATTAGACATAATAAATTTTATTTGCACAGCTCGTTTAGCAAGTCCTTAAATATACAAGCTGTTATGTTTGTACAAAAAGAAAATTGGTTGAACAAATAATAATGTACTCAAATATAGAATTCAARCAGGCCATTTGGATTTTTTTGATAATATATAAAAAAAAAAGAAAATTTATTCAAAGAAGAAGAAAGGAAATACAAGAGAGATGATAAGGAATTACTGACAAGCATATAAAAACCAAAAAAAAAAAAAAAAAAACTCACTTCTCCTGACTAATCAAAGCCCCAAAAAGAAAGAAGCCCCTAATAGAAAAACACAAAACCTCACAACTATACAAGCTAAACCCACCCGAATCAAAACAAAAAACAATCCTTCTACCTGAACAAAATCCTCTCTGATTCTCTTGAGGTTCTTTTTATTCTTCACTTTCTCACTTGAACCAATCCCATATAAACCCATCTTCAACTTGGTAAAAGACTGGTTTGTTTTCTAACACAAAGACTGCATTTTCCTTAACAATATATCATTTTGTTGAGAATGTGAATTTGGCTTTASGGGTATTGTTGTCTTTTCTTTTTTTCTATTTGGGCACCCTTATAGGGACATGGTTGTAATTTCAGATTTATCATATAATAGATATTCTGGGTGTGAACAGTAACACCCAAGTGCTCTCCCGTAACTCTTCTTCTTCTTCTTCTTCTTCTTCTTCTTCTTCTTCTTCTTCTTCTTTCTTCCTTCCCTCTTCCTACACTCGACAATTTGGTACCAGAGCGGGAAGAAGCCTCGGCCTAGATCCTCTGCCAACTCCAGAACTCATGAAGACCTACTGACATCAGACCGCCGCCGGATGACATCAGCAGTCCGTACAGAAACCGGCGGCAACCCYTGAATTTGATATACTCTAGTTCACCCCGATTTTAGGGTTATTGTGGTATGGTTCTCATCTTCRATGTTTGGACTTTTTCTTCCTTGTCTGAGTTCGATGCATGCTTGAAACTTGTTGGTTTTGGTTTACTTGGCATTGCTAAAGGTATGGGAAGTTGTTTCACATCCTTATAACCTCTGATCTTTCTATGGGAGGTCTTCTTTCTTCCCAATATTGCCGCCAGTTCAGTTTTGGGCCTCCCATTGGAATCCAGCCGAGTGTTTCCCAT